CCGATGGAATTTATTACGTGCGAGCGATCATATGGATTGAAACTAAGACGTGATGCGTGAAGGTGGTCGAACTTATCATAGAGATCGAATGTCTCTACATTGTAACCTGGAATCATTGATTCGCAACATCTGATGCAACCTAACGTTTCCTGGAAACATTTCCTATGCACATGGCCCTCGCACCATGCACAAGTACGCAAGTTAGACTTAGAGTAACACCAGCCCGGACAGGCCGTGCATTTAATTTTAATTTTTTGACTATTGCTAACTTCACCGTTTGTGTTCATGATGTTTTTAAATTTCGTTGTGAATTGATTAATCAAAATAAATGTTTATGATAAGGTATATAAGAATATATATGAAAGTCAGACCTGCTTCGCGAAAACTAACAGTTTTGTGAGCTAACAGATCCTGACTGATACTAATTTACACTAACTGATTAATAATCTTAACTATCTAAAACTAACTATCTAGCGAGTGTGCTAGTAGAGCAGCTTAACTTTGACTGTACTGTACTAAAACGTGTAACTTTAACTTGATTGTAGCTTAACCTCAACTCTACGAAAACTTGCTTAGTTTGGAACTTGTAAGACCTCGCCTACAATTGCACTCCGCATTACCCGTCCGTTAACAAACAAAAAACAAAACAAAAAAACTTTCATTAGGTGTGTTGATGTGTAATCAAAATATTATGTCAAAGATTTGTGATGAATATGAGAGTTGGACGATATATGTGTATGACTGCTAAGTACTAAAATTGTCTTTGATTAAAATTTCGTAGCTGAATAATGGAGATAGTGGTAAAATGAAAATCTTATCTGTAGTATTGCTATTTTAGGGGTGGCAGATGAGAAGTGGGCCCATTTATGCATCTGATTGTTTCTGATTGTTTAGTCGTGAGAGCTTATTTGTGACACAATTAAATTGAATTAAGTTAAAACAGCACGTGATTACATGTGCCGTATCGTGGCCAGGAGTTGACTCGTACATATATCACCAACAGAATCTCCTACCAAAACTAAACTAAAAATTCTCCAGCGTGTGATCTATCCTCAGCCAAAATATGACTAGCATAACACTTGATCTACAGATCATAACATTTCATTTCCCGATAACAAAAACTGTCTCAGTCGCAAGAGTTGACCGATCGCAACCACTGACGCAGTGGCCAGGTCCAGTTCCTAAGGCCGTATCCCCTGCACTTGCCAGTTTGGCGGCCATCTAGCAGTTCTATGGCGAGCACGAGTTGGCTAGAAATCATCCTCTTGGCTGCTAGGGTTAGGTGCGTGCCTCTGCCGTCTGATCTGTCCAGAACCTGATCCACATGCTTCGAGATGCGGTCGCGTGTGAGTGCTGCATGTGAGTCAAAAAAAAAAAAAAAAAAAAAAAAAAAAAAAAAAAAAAGGGAGAGTAGGAGAGTTTGAAACATTTGAGAGAGAATTCATATCATAACTGGGGTACTTGATATACCCCCCTGGGGTACTTGCAGGGAAAACAGAGCACTGAGCGTTGCCCCGCGTCGCCCAGCTCCCCAGGTAGCTACCTCCTGGGTAGTAGACCCGTTAGTAACCATTTAACCCATGGCCACACATCCTTTTGTCACGAGTCCACAACTTAAGATTGGAGGGTCATCTGCAGGTCAGTCCATGCCCGGAAAGAAAACCACTAGGTGTCAATTGCACCTAGTCAAGAAACCAAGAGCTAGAACAGAAGGATACAAGATTTTCACCAACGAGAGGCAAGAAAGGGAATTAACCGGGGGACAAGTAACAAACAAAACAATGAAATATAATATGATTACAATGTTATAATTATTCGAGTGTGCTGGGTATGGTAACATTATAGATAGTAGTATTTCCAAAGGAATGATTTTCTTTCAGTACCGGCAGTCTGTGCCGCTATGATATCGAATAAAAATCAGGAGATATATTATTTTAAAATACTGCTGTCTCAGTTACAGATATTTTTTTTGGTTTTTCCATTTTGTGTTTTTTTTCTTTTTTTCTTTTTAACTTTTTTTGTAATTTTCTTTTCTTTTTTCCCTCCTAAATCATGATAGCATTAAGTGATGTTGAGAAGGGACATAAGAGCCTGAGGTTCTGGTGGTCTACAGAGGTTTCACCAGCTGTTTGGTCAAGTTCTAGCCCGTTACTTGGACTAGTAACGGGGGAACTAACAGTGTTAATTAGCCCGGTTCATAAAACAAAAATATTATCCAATAATTGCGGTAATAGGCTTATCTGTTGTTCCGTAGGCCAAATAACTACCAAAAAAATTTTGAAGCTTCAACTCCAACCGGAACCCTTCCCCCATGCCACGCCCATTTTTTTCATCAATTTTTAACAGGTAAAAATCTTCATATCATCAATTTAGGCATGAAGGAGTGTTTTTAGTGCTCCAAAAGTTTGGGGTCTAACAGTAATGGTAGAAAAAGGTTAACTTTAGTCAAAGTCTCAAGTCTTCACGGCGCTTGGTTTAGGTAGGTAGTGCGCCATCGACAGTGAGCCGCGCGTGCCGACTGTAGGATGGTTTTTTAGCGCTAATTTCGGCCAGCACAATTTTCTTCAAACAAATAGATATTAAGTATTCTTCCCGACCTCCGATTGCAACAAAAATTGATAAGGTTACTCATAGACTTACAAGGAAAGTGTCCGAAAAGTTTAAAGCATATCCAACCATCAGACATTATGTTACAGCTAAAAGCAGCGTATTTTGCCCCATTTTAATCACTATATCAACTCCGATATCCACCAAATTTTTCGGACAGTTGTGAAAGCCCTATTAGAAGGTCGTCGCCAATTTTCAGAAGGATCTCATGCAAGGAACTGAAGATATATCCAAATAATACGACAAAAATCAACGAATTTGGTCAAATTTGGTCAAATTACGCGACTTTTACAGCTAATTTTGCTCCAAAAGCCGCGCACCATCAAATATGGCACCTAGGCAAAACTCACTGATCTTTCCAAAAAGGTATGACAAATTTGGTATTGTGAAATTTCTCACAGTCTCTAGAAAACAATGGTACAAAAATTTTTAAAATCCGAGCAAGTTTATTTTTATGGTGCACCCCCTAGTTTAGGCGCACCGGATCTCGCGTCTCGAGCCTCCGCCGGGAGATTTGTTGCGCCAAAACTAAAGGTCGTAGAGACATGAGACTTCCACTAAAGTTAACCTTTTTCTACCATTACTATTTGGGTATCACAGTTTCAGAGCTAAAAACACATTCCTTCATCCTTAAAACAACAATCATATGGATTTTGCCTGTAAAAGTGGAACTGATCCTTTAAAATCATTTAAAGAAGTCAGCAGGTTAAAATCTAGGTACCCTGGCTTTCGGATCGCCATGCCTTCACAGTTCACAAGCAAGCTGTCTAATCTTCGTTGCCAGAGGAATATTTTCGTCAAACTAGGATTTAAATGAGGTTCTTATTTCTTCATAACTCGTCACTGATAGGATCAGCATCGATGAGGTCCAATAATTCCTTCATAGCTCGTCACTGACAGGGTAACCGATAACTTTTAATAAGTGATAAGGTCTGATCACTGATGATTTCTTCGAGGCTAACGAGGATACGTCAAGACAAAGTATATATTTGGTTTGCTAATAGATTAAATACGACAGTTTATGTTTAAGAATAAAATAAAATCAATATTAAACAACATTTACACATAAAATCTAATAAAGCTTCCTAAGATCGTCCTTGGTCTCCAGTCCAAATCTCTTCCTGTGTGACTCCACCGCTTGGACCAGTTCACCTTCCCAAAACCGTACAAGTTTGGTAGGAGCTTCCCGTTGAAGTTTATCTGACCGACGTCACAGGTATAATTCTCCTTGATCGTAGCAGCAACCTCCTTCCTCGCAGTAGCACGATGTCGTCTTGCTGTAGATTTACTGAGAGATATTTTGTTAATGTCCCCACCCCCGTGATTAGAAATTGCTGCAAACATACCTGTCATCTGAGAGTTGGAGAGATTTAGCCGGTCAGCAACAGGGCCCAGCTTCTTTAAGCATTCCTTGGAGACTGTTAATAGTTTAAACTTTGTTCTATAACTGAACCTCAGGAATCTGGCAATGCCAGGGAGTGAGTAGCTCTAGCCGGCAGCCATCCAATGGACTGCTGCCGTTACCGACCCCGAGGGTGCTGACCACGAGTATCAGCCTCGGACCCACTACTCACTAGCTCTGGTGTTCTGAGCGGGGGCCTCTGGTGTTCTGAGCGGGGGCCCAATTATTATTATTATTATAGAACAGGATCTTACCGACAGAAATTATTCATAAAATTGCCTTAATGCGGTAAACTGTACCCTTGAAACTGATTTTCCCAACATCTGTTGCATGCATCTATATCTTTGATCTCGTTTAACTCATGCAAGTTATCTATGTATAATGGCGCAGGAGGGTCAACCTGAAAAGAACATTGCTTGACCCTCCTGCCCCACCACATGGATCAGGAGGTTCATTTCAGAAACAGTGCTTGACCCTCCTGCCCCACCACATGGATCAGGAGGTTCATTTCAGAAAAAACAGTGCTTGACCCTCCTGCCCCACCACATGGATCAGGAGGTTCATTTCAGAAAAAACAGTGCTTGACCCTCCTGCCCCACCACATGGATTACGGGGGTCATTTGAACCCACAAGACCATGTGCACTTATTTCTACATCGCGCGCGATACGTGTGTGCGTGATTACATGAAATCTTACCGCGCCCTACGCCAAGTAGACGAAAAGCGTGGTCGAAGAGCGAGAGTCGGTACAATAAATAAAACGAGAGTTGGTACATTTAACTGGCATTTTTTTAACCGTGGTACAATCAGAATTGCATACAGCCGACACAGGATGAGGGGGGGGGGGGGGGCAATGACTACTGATGGAGACTTTTGAGCACCAATGGGGACGAAAATCATAGGGACTGAAGGTCAAATCGCTGGTGAAATTTTCCATTTGTCCCCATAAGTACCCAAAGTTTTGGCGAGTTTTATGTAGTTTTGATATTATCTTTTATTAAATGACTTCTAAAGGAGACTTTTGGGTACCAATGGGGGCTAAAAATCTTGGAGACTTGAGGTTAAATTGCTGGCGAAATTCTGCACTTGTCCCCAAAGTACCCAAAGTCATTGGCTCCCCCCCCCCCTCCCCCGGGTGAGGTGACGGAGAAAAATAAACTGAGCTCAAGGCTACATTTCCAGATATCCCGCCAGGGCACCGTCGCTCATGCTGCAAAGTGTGTTGAGAGATGCCCACGTCATCACACGTAAACTGTGTCACGAATACCTGAAATGCAGACGTGCAGAACAAACATAACTCTGATCTATATTTTTCATAAAACTTTCAGGATTTGCCAATGAGGGAAAAGACAGCACTGTCCGAGAAGCTAGAAATGCATGAATCATAGGTGACATGGATAGGGGTAAGAAGTTTTTAAAAAACATGAAAATTGTGAAAGGAAAAGAAGTAGAAATGAGAAAGGGTAGATTTAAAATGTTTGAGAATCGATTTTGTGCTGAAGAACTCCGTCCGCAGGACGGGCTTCCGGCTACTTATGATAATTCGAATAAATTTGAGATTCAAACAAGCTACGAATACGAATGCTTATAGCAGTGGCAAGCTCGTGGCAAGCTCTTGTTTGCTGCGCATTGGCTGCAATGTATAACCGCAGTATGAAGTATGAACTGTCAAAATATTTGAATTTGCTTACCTAGTGGCTTTGTTTGATAAAGCATACATACTTTATATACCGATAAATCAATAACTCCTTTTGATTCTTCGGTTTGAGAATTGTGCGGTCACACATCTCTGCAATGTCTGAAAAGGTGGCAGGGAAGTATTGAAACTTACTTAACACTATATTTACAGTTAAACCTTGAACTACTATAACTAGGGCAGTAGGAAACGCCAAAAAGTAGATCATCTGACTAAAACAACTTAACTTCATCCAAGAGTCTAGTTAGCAGCATTGTAGCGATAAGATACCACCATAGTTTGAGCTGTCGACACTGAAATAAAACAAACAATTTACTTTTCACTACTGCAGGGGAATGCATGTAACATATAAAGAATAAAGATATAATATATTGTATGTTTTTCATCGTGGCCTCAGGGGAGAAGGGCAGCTCGAAAAACCGAAAAAAGTCTAAAAAACCGTGTTGGAGCTGGTGAGTTAAAGCTACCGATCTCGATCGTGAGAGTCAGATGATCAGATCGCATGTAACGTGAGTTTCGCCCGCCTGAATAAGGCAACATGAAATCATATTGCTGGTGACAGGTCTCGACCAAGATGTAAAATAAAGATACCCCAAATTTGTTATTTTTAAGCCGATTCACATCGACCCAAGTCTCTGCTTTGACCCTAAATGCTCAAACTTCGTTAATAGATTGGAAAATCGTGTTATGCTTGTTACTAATAACTGTTGTTTGTGAGAGGACATCTCGATTTCCCGGATCAGAGGATCACACCAATGAGGGGTTGATTGTGCATGTGTGAACTTGACTAAATTTTCAAATTGCCCGACTTTTTTTTCAGTAGGTCACATTACTCGTGACGTGCAAATGTATCTTTTGTCTTTTAATAGGTCAAGCTCAGAGCTTTAAAGCTTTAAAGACTTCTCCGTGACAAAGACGGCCGACATATATCTTTACTCCAGGAAAAGTCAGAACTCTTTCCACACCACATTCTTAAATGTACACGACAGCAGAACGACGATGTAGCCCCACGCCGCAGTAAACTTTAAATTTCTGACCCGGACGAGCCCAGCAACTGTAGACAGCTGCGTGAGCTATGTACGGTTAGCAGATTTAAGAGCTTATGCAATAAGCAGTCACCGTTCACTCTCATTTTTGACTCTTCTTCTTTTGAACAACAAATGTCCATTGAATGATGCCAAGCTAAGCGATTATGATTAGAAAAGTACCGTGATTTACACTGATGGCTCATACAAGGACTTGTTGGACTTCGTGAATTTGGAGGACCTGCAGCTGTAATCAGTACTTCACTACCAGATGTGCGAGGCCGAGGTTCCCGTTTGACAACATTACAAGTGGACCACCCAGGCCGGGATGATCACGCGCTAGTTGACATGAGATCTGATTCTCCCGGGAAAATTGGGCGAGATGACCGGTGTCCTGTCAGAGGTCACGGATACAAGGATACAAAAATATAAATATTTTATTGTACAATTACAATAGTCGTATAAACTTGACAAATTCGCCTACCATCACGTGACCCTCGTCAACGAGCAAGTGAAAAATGTGTTCACAGCATTTATATTATACGGTAACTACACCATAGATTGACAAGCTAAGCGTACAGAAAAACGTCCAACTCCGGACTATAATAAAACTCCGGTATAATAGCGTTTTTGACGGAGCAATTTAATGGCCTGGAGTAGGAAACTTTGTTGACCGGAATAAATTGATCCGAAAGGCGAAAGATACATATGAGAGGCCATCATAAGATGGTACCAAAATATCTCTGTGAAAAGTCCTTTTTACTTTTTTAAGCGTCAAAAGTCGGTGCACTTACTTTATCCATCGAAAAAAGGCATCCCCTGGTGGCTCGTAAAGTATCGATTTTAGCTGTCTAGTAGCCATCTTCTGTGCTCTCTGGCAGTCTAAGAAGAAACATTATATACGACTCTATACAAATAATCTTATTATAAAACAGGATCATACATAGTTAATAGAACTCCATTAAGAAAACATCTTAACTACGTAATCTGTGCCTAGTACAACAGTTTCCAACACTTCCTACAGCTAGCAATATCCCTTATTTCATTTAAATCACTCAAATTTCTAAGTTCTAAGTTTCTATATTTAAGGTCATCAACAAGCATATTTGATATAAGTTTGTATTAGGTCTACCAACACGCCCTTTAAATTTACCACTACTATTTAACACAAATTTCTCTTTGTGATGAAAAAGTTTAAAGAAGCTTTACAACTTAACTCAAACTAATGCTTCTGTCTGTCTGCTGCATTTGAGTTTATTTCTAAATGATTCGCAGCTTTCGGTAGCTCCATGTTCAGCCCACCATGCCTGAAAAAATTTGGTTACACAATAACTTTGGTTCCCATAAATATTATGGTTACCATAATATAAGTCACAAATTTTGTTAATTTCAAGTCAACAACAATATTAGTCGTATTTTTAAGACCATTTTTCCATATCATTTAATTTTTTTAAATTTATTCAGCTAGCTTTTTTGACTAAAATATTTTCGATCTGGGAAATTATTTAAAGACGAGTCAACATTACATACATCAATTACATAGCATCACATACATTTACCTATAACACGCAGTAGCGACTTGTATAAATTTAACGATACTTAAATTCGTTAAATCATATATCATGTATATGCTCTGCTGAAATTTTAGTCTCCTTTAAAATAAGTCCTCCCATGAAATTTAGTTTACAACAATTTTAGGCAATTGTTTGACTTAATTTATGGTATAATAGATTTTTCGTTCCTGAGGAAAGGGAATTTCGGCGGATATAGTAACACCAGAAAATATTGGTTTATGTAAATTGAGTTTACGTTGTTTATCAATGATTCGAGGGCACTGCAACGAGAATTAGAACAATTAATCAAAAATTACTGCCTAAACATTTAATGAGCAAAACCTAACGAGCTTAACCTCTGTCACTCTTTTTCGGAGATTCAATATCATTTGACACAACTCTATGGATTAACTATATGATTTTTTAAAATAGGAAAACTAATCTGGTTGTATCCTAGCAGAACTGATTATTATATACGTTAAGAACAGTGTCAGCTGGAATATTCAAGTAAGGTCATTTGTGTGCTTTCTTTTACAACAGAAACAAGGAATTGAAATATCATTGTAAACTAAAACTGACAAGGGTAATCATAACATAACATTGTGCTCACAGTGTCACTCCATTCCTGAAAAAAGCCCATTTTCTTCCAATAAGACAACAAATAGAGTATAAGATTGCTCTAACCGTGTTCAAATGTGTCAACAACGTAGCTCCAAATTATATCACCAAATGCATCAACATTAAGAGTCAACCTGTACGTGTACTACGGACTGAACAAGACTATTTCCTCCTAAATGTTCCTACTGTTTCAAATTATAGTAAAACTGAGAGAAGCTTTAGTTACTGTGGACCCTTTGTTTGGAATCAGCTTCCTTAGCAATTGAGAACATTAACCGATATCGTCTTGTTTAAAAAGAGAATAAATACGCATCTCTTTGAAAAAGCATTCATATAAGTAGCATATAATAACTTTCTCATAAAACCCAAACTTCATAAAAATAAGTTCTAATGTACATATTCATGAGTCGCTTTAGATGGCTTGAACTGAATCTTTACTTAGCTGTCATTAGTTTAGTGCTCAGTGTCAACAAGAATTGTCATTATATTTTCCCTGTGATAATATTCAATTTCAAGTCAATATATCATAGTTATTGAATGCCTATATATATCCTGAAGTTAGGACTATGATTTGACCTGCCCATCCCCTAATTTTGGAAGTTTATATGCTCCTATCGTGAAAATGAGGTTAATTGAATGAAGGCTTTCATGTTATTCTGTATTATCACGTCATCTTACATCACATTATCAGGTCCAGTATATCCATAATTAAGACACCAATTGAATAATGAATGTGAATTTGTTTAGAGAATAAAATTTAGGTCGAAAATTTTGATCCTTCCCCCCCCCCCCCCCCGCCCCCCTCTGGCCTTATTTCATTAAATCCATAACACCTGATCTTGAAGTTACTCACAAGGCGAGGAACATCCTAGCCTGTCCAGCATCTGGGAGGTCTACACAGGAAACAGTAGCTCATTTAGCTCTAGGTCACCAGGCTGTGACAGTAGTCTTGATGTCCATTGTCCAACCAGTTCTGCGATTTACAGGTAACATCTAGGTAAAGAATAAGATTAAGTTGAATGTGCTTATGATGGGACCCCGGAGGGCAAGATCAGGTTATAATAATATAACACCTTGAATTTTTAATGTACTATATACTATAATATCTGAAAGAATCTCTTCGAATATTTTTCTGTGACAAGTGGATCTTGAATCTTTGAATAGAGTTGGTGGTTACTGTCTGGTGACATTACACACTCACTTAATCTTCCTCTTGGTCCAAGGGATGTTTTAAGAAGGGCATTAATAACTTCCCTTACTGACATACTTACAACAAAATAGCTGCATTGCTTTGGACTTGTCAGTAGAATGCCTGAAGATCGGTTACCCAACTGTCTACTTGAATGACAACCCAAAAATAGGAAGAGATCAAGAGGCAGGTCTATAGGAAGAGCTTAAATGTAGTAGAAATGTTACCTACCCTCCGAAGATGTATAAGTAAAGTAATAAAACAGCTCGCGCAGACTAATCTTTTTGGATGGAGATCTCGCTAGAGTAACATGTTACTTGGTTCAATCCAATAACATATAAAATTAAAGAGTTTAAGAGTCCAAAATAGGAATTTAACACAAATATATATTAAATTCATTCACTGCAACAATCACTCCATAAAATCATGTAGGAGTATTGATAAGATTGAGTTCCAGATCACCTATATATTGCTGTGGATACTAAAATCCTGACACCTCTATAACCCCTAAAAGAAACTATACATGTCATGGGTAATGGATATCATTAGTAGGTAGTTATTGCAAACAGAGTGCTACCAAGTGCCACGTCTTATGATTTTCTAGAAATCAGAAACAAAAAGTAAAACTCTAATCAAAATGCTGAGCAGGATGAAGCAAAGACTTGAAGAAGAACTAAGAGACAACCAGAATGGCTTCAGACCTGGTTGCTCTACAACTTCGCACATTCTTGTTCTGTGAAGAATTATATAGGGTCTAAAGGCCATGAGTGTGAAGGCCACTATGGTGTTTATAGATTTTAATAAAGCCTTTGACAGTGTACATAAAGGTTTGCTTATTAAGACCAGCCATGACTTATGTTGATAGCCTACGAGCTGACACGGGTCTCAACGACACTGGAGAAATGGGCGGACTTATGGCGGATAGAGTTTTATGGAGACAGCGCATCAATACTCGGACGCTGAAGCCGCCTTAAGTCAAGTAAGTCAGAGTTATTAAGATACTTAAAGCAAATGGTATACCAGAATAGATGGTATTACAGGGGTCTTCGAAGTCCTGGTAGGATCGGGATTCGGGAGTACTGCAAAGAGACACCTCATACTTGTTCATCATCGTGATTGACTATATCATGACAGTGGCTATAGATGATGACTCAGACTCTGGGTTCACTCTTAAGCCTGCACAGGGTGTAGATGGATTTGTGCTGAAAATATCGCATATGTCAAATTCTCAGATGATGGTGCCCTTATCACTGATATAATTGAATGGGGCAAAACTACTCCTGGACAGGCTATAGGAAGCAGCAAAAAGTGTGGGGTTAGTCTTGAACAACTCTAAAACAAATCTCATGACTCTAAACACTACAGAGGATAATAATAATAATAATAATTCTATACAGTTACATAATTGAAACAATTATGGCCCCTTATTGTGGGCAGAGTATGTGTCTTTATTGAATTGTCCTGATATAAACTTATCTGAGTGACTGCATTAAAATAATTTAAGGTGAGTTCTCTTAAAACTTTAAGACAATAGGAATAAATACTAGGACCTAATAAAATGAAAACAAAATGCAGCCATCTAATTTGTTGTTGAGCTTTCTCTTCTCCTACGGTTGACTAGAGGAACCATCTTTGGCGAGTATTAGGAACTTAGACCATTACAAATACCGTGCTGTAAGTTTGCAAGGCATGTGGACTAAGTGGGTCGAGAGTACTCAACTTGAAAGTGGGTGTTGAGAATCCTCAACTATACTAAAGATAATGATGTTCAGAAGATGAGGCAGTAGAGTGAGTAGTAGAGACTGAAGAAGAATAAATGTCACAAGAGATGAGCACTATAATAATCATCTTTATGATAGTTCACCAATGGCAATTTGTGCTAGAGAGCGGAAGGCAGTGATGCTGTTATCACTATCATCTCTTAAGATAGACCATGATGGTTGGTCATTAAAGGAATGGTCCTGCAGGGTTTCCCTGTAAGAGCAGCTGCACAGTGGACAGTAGAAGAGTCTGTGATAATTGGTGTCCAATACCTTACAATTTGGACACTGAGGGTCGCAGTTGTTGGCTACCCTTGCCTGGAAGGCTGCAAAGGTGATGTCATGGCCATGTAGGAGAGACATAACCTTAGTATCCGTGTTTCTGCTTGAGTAGCGAGGAAATAATCGTTTGCTCCTTTCATCAATGTTATCCAGTATCTGACCCTCACTCTGATTTATTCTTGGGTTCAGCAGGAGATGTTTATTCCAAGTAAACTCCATGAAGCGGATTATTTCTTCTTTTGAGTAGCTGACAACATCGTTCTGGACACTAGTCAGAAGGTCTATTTTGCTTCTGTTTAGTTCTTTAGACCCAGTTTTCCACGTTAGAAACTTACGTATCTCGTCAATATGGTGCTGGTATCGGTGGGCCTTTGCCTCCTCTAGCTGCAAGATGAGCCCTTGCATAAATGGGTCACTTGTAAGTGCTTTTATTATAAATTTTATAGTGACCATCTTGTAGGATATCTCAAGGGGTGGAATCCCAAGCGCAACAGAGGTCAAATCTTTGGGAGGATGGTGAGTGGCCCCGCTTATCTTCAAGAGGACCCTGGCATAAAAGTCTTTGAAAGTGTCGAGGTTATCTTTTAGCCATATAGGAGCAGCATATAGAAGTTTTGTGAGTACCACTGTTCTGAAGAGCATTCTGAGTGAGCTTGTATTCAGACCTCTGTGGCGGGTGGAGTTTTGGGTGATCCTGTGCCAGGCAAACCAGCATTGCTTGAGTTTGAATTTTGCGTGACCCTTGAAGAGGAAAGTAGACTTTAAAGCTGTTCTGGAAACCAGCTGGAAAACGTACCTTGGGGCATAGATATCAACAACTGAGAGAGACTTTAGAGAGACTTTTCAAGAGCAACTATGAAGATCCAAGAGCGTAGGATGCAACTAGCTTTGCCATATACACTGGCACCTTGAACTAGTTGCTAAGTGTGGGGTACTTAATGAACCTAACCATGGTGTGCTGAGCAGGGGAAGAACAGTCATAACTTATGTTGATAGCCTAAGGGCTGATACGGGTTTGAGTAACACTGGAGAAATCACGGGACTTATGGAGGATAGAAATCTATCGAGACAGTGCATCAATACTCGGACGCTGAAGCCTAAATTAAGAGAAGTTTAAAAGTTCACAATCATAATTATTATTTAAAATTGCCTCTAATAGCTACTGATAATCAGCTTGATAGTCGTCTTCCAGCCAGTTTATCAGAAATAAATAAAATGCAGAACCTAACAAAAGGACTAAAATAACTCCAAGATATATTTCATGAAAATTACTAAATTTGCATTTGCGCTCCATTCCAAAGAATTTTTGTTAATGATGCGTTGACAAAATGCGCGGCGCGCAAAAATTTTCATTTGAAATTGTTTGTTGTTCAAACATATTTCATAAAATAATCTGTAATATATAGTTCTAATAGTGTATAAAAAAGAATAATCTAAAAATATAACACTAAACAGAGCAAAAACGAGGGTCGCGCAAAAATTATATCTATTTTGACAATTTCCGCGATTTCAAATAGGAACCATTTAAATATATGTGAACAAAATACGCAAACCATTAAAATCTTGATCCATAAATTTTTAATCGTAGAGTCCCCGGTCAATAGTTTGCAAAAATAATTTTAAATACGAAAATATAAAGAATTTAAAAATTTATGGATCAATAAATTAACGGTTTGCGTATTTTGTTAATTATATTATATGTATAAACATGGTTCCTGTTCAAAATCCTGGAAATTGTCAAAATATATATGATTTTTGCGCGATCCTCGTTTTTGCTCTGTTTAGTGTTATATTTTTAGATTATTCTTTTTTATACACTATTAGAACTATATATTACAGATTATTTTATGAAATATGTTTGAACAACAAACAATTTCAAATGAAAATTTTTGCGCGCCGCGCATTTTGTCAACGCATCATTAACAAAAATTCTTTGGAATGGAGCGCAAATGCAAATTTAGTAATTTTCATGAAATATATCTTGGAGTTATTTTAGTCCTTTTGTTAGGTTCTGCATTTTATTTATTTCTGATAAACTGGCTGGAAGACGACTATCAAGCTGATTATCAGTAGCTATTAGAGGCAATTTTAAATAATAATTATGATTGTGAACTTTTAAACTTCTCTTAATTTAGGCTTCAGCGTCCGAGTATTGATGCACTGTCTCGATAGATTTCTATCCTCCATAAGTCCCGTGATTTCTCCAGTGTTACTCAAACCCGTATCAGCCCTTAGGCTATCAACATAAGTTATGACTGTTCTTCCCCTGCTCAGCACACCATGGTTAGGTTCATTAAGTACCCCACACTTAGCAACTAGTTCAAGGTGCCAGTGTATATGGCAAAGCTAGTTGCATCCTACGCTCTTGGATCTTCATAGTTGCTCTTGAAAAGTCTCTCTAAAGTCTCTCTCAGTTGTTGATATCTATGCCCCAAGGTACGTTTTCCAGCTGGTTTCCAGAACAGCTTTAAAGTCTACTTTCCTCTGTAGTGTTTAGAGTCATGAGATTTGTTTTAGAGTTGTTCAAGACTAACCCCACACTTTTTGCTGCTTCCTATAGCCTGTCCAGGAGTAGTTTTGCCCCATTCAATTATATCAGTGATAAGGGCACCATCATCTGAGAATTTGACATATGCGATATTTTCAGCACAAATCCATCTACACCCTGTGCAGGCTTAAGAGTGAACCCAGAGTCTGAGTCATCATCTATAGCCACTGTCATGATATAGTCAATCACGATGATGAACAAGTATGAGGTGTCTCTTTGCAGTACTCCCGAATCCTGATCCTACCAGGACTTCGAAGACCCCTGTAATACCATCTGCAGTTGTGATTACTTAAGCCACTGTGTTTGTGTAGATCAATCGCACTATGTATTCTGGTATACATTTGCTTTAAGTATCTTAATAAGCAAACCTTTATGTACACTGTCAAAGGCTTTATTAAAATCTATAAACATCATAGTGGCCTTCACACTCTTTAGACCCTATATAATTCTTCACAGAACAAGAATGTGCGAAGTTGTAGAGCAACCAGGTCCTGGTTGTCTCTTAGTTTTTCTTCAAGTCTTTGCTTCATCCTGCTCAGCATTTTGATTAGAGTTTTACTTTTTGTTTCTGATTTCTAGAAAATCATAAGACTTGGCACTTGGTAGCACTCTGTTTGCAATAACTACCTACTAATGATATCCATTACCCATGACATGTATAGTTTCTTTTAGGGGTTATAGAGGTGTCAGGATTTTAGCATCCACAGCAATATAGGTGATCTGGAACTCAATCTTATCAATACTCCTACATGATTTTATGGAGTGATTGTTGCAGTGAATGAATTTAATATATATTTGTGTTAAATTCCTATTTTGGACTCTTAAACTCTTTAATTTTATATGTTATTGGATTGAACCAAGTAACATGTTACTCTAGCGAGATCTCCATCCAAAAAGATTAGTCTGCGCGAGCTGTTTTATTACTTTACTTATACATCTTTGGAGGGTAGGTAACATTTCTACTACATTTAAGCTCTTCCTATAGACCTGCCTCTTGATCTCTTCCTTTTTTTGGGTTGTCATTCAAGTATTATAACCTGATCTTGCCCTCCGGGGGTCCCATCATAAGCACATTCAACTTAATCTTATTCTTATTTCATTTCATTATTTCATTTCATTTACCTAGATGTTACCTGTAAATCGCAGAACTGGTTGGACAATGGACATCAAGACTACTGTCACAGCCTGGTGAGTGGTGACCTAGAGCTAAATGAGCTACTGTTTCCTGTGTAGACCTCCCAGATGCTGGACAGGCTAGGATGTTCCTCGCCTTGTGAGTAACTTCAAGATCAGGTGTTATGGATTTAATGAAATAAGGCCAGAGGGGGGCGGGGGGGGGGGGGGGGGGGGGGAAGGATCAAAATTTTCGACCTAAATTTTATTCTCTAAACAAATTCACATTCATTATTCAATTGGTGTCTTAATTATGGATATACTGGACCTGATATTGTGATGTAAGATGACGTGATAATACAGAATAACATGAAAAGCCTTCATTCAATTAACCTCATTTTCACGATAGGAGCATATAAACTTCCAAAATTAGGGGATGGGCAGGTCAAATCATAGTCCTAA